GAAGCTTGATGTTGAGTATCATTTTTGGCGGAATTACATCATCCCATTTTGGCACATCTTTGGGTCTTTGCCAAGCCAGCTTGATATTGACGGTACCGGATGATGGGAGTTCGCCAGATGTTACTGGCTCGGCCTAAAATCATATATCTCTTCAAAAAATATAACCTATTTCGATACAATAACATCGCCACTGCAGATTATTCGGACATTTGTTTCTGGAGCCTTCATTGTACGGCTAAGCTATTCACTGAATTCAGTCAACTCAATTTCTTCCAGCACAAACTCAGTGTTTCCAGTCCGAAAACTAGCACACACTCTCTCAGAAGTGCAGCTGAGTGTTACGCATTATGTGTCGATTATCACCAAATCAGATTTCGATTTCTGCCTTTGATTACCATCATCATTCGCTTTATATCAGAAGGTATTCACTACCTATCATATCATCCCGACCACAAGAGAAACAACAGAATGGGAGATCTGGGATCAATCTAAGTGTGACGTATAGAAGGAAATGTTTGGATGCATCTTGTGTTTCACTCTATAGCTGTAAAGACAGAGGTAGCGCAGCATGCGGGTATGAGTGGGTATCATCAGTACAGCCTCTTGCCCACGATCCATATGGTACGTTTGCGTGAAAACGAATAAGACAAAAAAAACTCTTAAAATTTGTTGATTCTTTTTGAGTTGTGTTACCATTCAGACTGTTTTTTTATAGAGGATGAAATAGCAAGGGGTTTTTGACTATTAACTTTGAATAATTGGTACTGGCGCGTAGAAAGTCAAACTGCTTCCGAAGCAAATTTAGTAGAAAATTTTCAGTTAGAGGCCCAATTAAAATGGTAATTCGTTAACAGTAGTCATTCTGACACTTGCTGTCGAGTTTAGTCTGTTTGTTTGTGAATAGGAATCAATAGAGAGCGTGATTCAAAAGAGTTCTGATTTCAGCTTTTGTGGATAAGGAGATTGAATTTTTGTAAAATTTAAAGTGGGATAGTTACTAACCTTGATGAAATTTTCGTCGTGAACAAGTTCCCACAGCATGCTACGCTTGCTATTGTTGCACAGAAGAAGAAGTACTCGCGCCAAGTCGTTTTGACCTTTATCAAGGGCAAATTTTAGAAAGCTAAAAAATGACATATGTAAAGATACTGATGCCAACACAAGCACCAAAGGCATGTATCATTGGTAACATCATCCAAAACACGTATGTAATTCGCAAGCAAGCATTTGTCCAGGAAACTGCGATGGACTGTTCATGTGATGAAAATTTAGATACCGAAATATCCTGAAGTGAATGTAGAGACAGTGGTTGAGTACTGTAGCGTCAAAGGAAGTGTTCGGAGCAGAGAGGACATAAAGATGAAGAGGAGCGGGTGCGGAGCCAGAAGTGGGGAGGGAAAAGAGAGAGGGGGAATTAAACCTCCCCGTACAGAGATAAAAAGCTTATTTTCAGATGTTTTTCATCAGGATCCTTTAGTATGAATTAAAATTGATTGATGAAAATTTCATTTACATCAAATTTGATCGGAAAAAATCAGAGTACAAATCAAATTAAGCGGAGTTTGAACAAATCAAAATATAGCAAATAAGTCAGATTGGAGCAGCTCAGGGCAGAAGATATATTTCCAGGCCATTGCTTTGAGAAAAACTTTTTAACTTCGGGGCAAAATGTACTCTCATTTTTGGGAAAATTCTAAGCTGATACATGGAGAAAAATAGCATGCAAATGCACTTGGCACACCGAAATGAATCCCAATAACGCGTTCAATCCAGGATGAAATGTTTTAAGGCTTAGTTCTTGTCATATAGCTAAATCGCCCCTGAGTTCGCTCTCCAGGAAAGGCGAAGGCACTCGAAAGCAGCTTAAGAGATAACACTTGCCAAATCTGCCATCAGTTATTACAGTGGCTATAGGTTCCTTTTCCGAGATTTGCTTAAAAACAAGCTGACGACGGTTTTATAGCGTCATATTCAAGAAATTCAAAAAATTTTGATAATCTAATAATGCTGGAGAATCTAAAAAACTGCCACCTCCTGCTGAGTGGTTCTCTTTCGGGCTGATTTTGAGATCCAGTTTTTGGAGAGTGCATATCGCTGGGCGATTTCCTGAAAATAATTACTTATCCTTGACTTTAAAAAGTGTAGACGCGAGAAAAAATGCTGCAGCTTGCCTACTTTTGACACTTTTTAGGTAGTTAATCTAATAAGCAGTTAAATCGATGGAAGTTGAGAGGGAGTTGGATAGAGCGCATAGGTTTTTCTTAGTTAAATTATCCCCTCACCTTTCAGACCTCGCAACGCTTTTTCTCCGTAAACAACGCATGAAGTCAACGCGTTAGTGAGGCCCGCCGCCTCAAACTTCGCTTATAGCCTGTCTCGAGGCGAAGTATAGAACTTATTCATATTATGCGTTTTGTGCTGTTTTGTGCTTATTCATATCATGCGTTTTGTGTTGTTCTCCGCCAACGTATGACGCGACAAGTTTAAATTCAGCCTTTCCGTACCCGCCGGTAATGTGTTCGATCCCGTAAAATTTCTTCGGGTAAAATTATTATCACGGGAAAAACATAAACTAGACGGCTGGAATTTCGAGGGCACGCCCCCGCGCTTGTGCTACCCAGAAAATTTAAATTCAGCTTTCCCCTCCCCGCGGGTAATATGTACGGCCCCATGAAAATTTCTGACGGGAAACATGGAGTCTAGGAAGCTGAAATTTTAGCCTTGTGACCCCCTGCCCACAAACGATCTTGCAAATTCAAGTC